CAACATTAAATTAAATCTAAGCTTGACCCAAAACCGTTGCCGTTGTTTCGCAAAATATTTCGCCTAAGCACTTAATTTTTTTGAGGGGGGATGTGGGTCGAAACACGAAGCATAACTGCAGCCGCTTGATAATAAATGATTATTTTCGGTCTAAACTGCGTTAATCACAGATAATGATAATGCGGTGTAAGGCAAGCGTGTGGTGTGTTCGGCGTTTACTTAGTCGTTATTGATTGTTTTTAATTAGTGAGCAGAACACCCGCGGGCGGAGCACTGCTCATTACCAGATCGCGATCAAGATCGGTTTCGGTTTTGATCGGAAGGAGTGCCCCCCCCAAGAATATGTATGTACAATGTGCACAGAAAGAAAATCAAATACTTTTCGAGCATATATTTACATGATAAGTTTAATTAATTTGTAATTGGATCTGAATTTACAATAATTTCTAGACTGAGTCTATTTTTACATGCCTATAAAGACCTTTTATGCTAGTTTATTACAAAATAATGTGAAGGAGTAATTTCCGACCCTATAAATCATATATATTCTTGATCAGCATAAAAAACCGAATCGATCTGGGCATGTCTGGTAACAAAACAAAATTTCAAATTTTTTTTCCCAATATTGCAACATTTTACGAGAGGTTACATCGTCAAAAATTGACAAAAATTTAACTTTTTAAAATATTTAAATTGAGTATGCAGATTTATTAACCTAATAAAAACTAACAAAGGAAGGCTTTCCGAATTGAAATTAATGTATTTTTGGCTTAGTTAAGGATTTTTAAAATTTTGGTTTTTATAGATTTGTATAAAAGATTGTCATATAAATTTAACGATAACTCGGTTAAAATAAAGCTAATATTTTGGGACTTCTTGAAGGCATAACTTTCCCAAAAATTCACTGATTACAAATGTGCTTGTATAAAATCCAATAGCTTGGTTTTTTCCCTAAGTGCAAGTACTCAAGTACATTAAAGCCGACACAGCCCAGAGGAGAGTCCCCCATACCGAGGGGTTCATTCAACTGGCTGCGCAATTCTGAGCCCATTAAGTCGCAATTCGCGAGAATAAAACGAGAAAAACCTATAAAAAAATAGATGTATACATATATGGACAAAAAGTAAACTCGCGTGGCCGCTTTTGAGGTTTTCGGTCTATGGGTTCTCCTCAAGTTCAGGGTCGCGTCCACTTTATTTGTCGGAAGTGACACTGGCAGCAGGGCGACCCATTGTTACACAAATTCGAGTTTATGGCATCTCATGCGGCTTAATAACAGGTCTTGTCAAACTGGAGCTGGGAGCCATTAAAAGGTTTTTCAAAATAAAAATAAAAAAAAAACGGAGCAAAACACGTTCAAATATGAAACTGCTGTCCACGCCGTTTTGATTTCTGTCTTTGGGATAATTATGCTATTGATAGATATGTAGATAAGTCTTAACAAAATATGAAGATTGAATATTTGTTTGTGTAGACATAAAGGTGTCCAAACACAATTTTTATTGAACTTTACACTAATTGTCTAGAAAATATAATGGAAAGTTTAATATAAGATTCAAGGTTCGGATATTGTTTTATTTCATAAAATTATAATTATATAGCTTACTCATCTTCAAAGCTTAAATTACCTTGAAAACTTAAGAAAATAATGTTATTATTTTATTTTGTATAAAATGTATATTTATCAGTTTAAATTATAGTTAAAGCTACTGCTGAAATAACATATTCGGTACTTTTAAAATTGTAATAGCTAAGTCTTTGGTATGTTGCTTTATTAAGACATCAAACCCTCCCTAAAATCGTTATAAATAATAATGCAGCTTTTATTTTCTCATAAAATATTATATACTTAAACTCCCAGCATTGCCTCAAACATTATTTGAAATATTTATAATATTAGTTATCTGCACCCGTTTAGTTTTTCTCAATGATTAAATTAAATTAAATTTGAGTTTTTTGAGTTTGGTTGGCCCATAAATTGAGGCTTTCGACGTAACCCCATTGTGGGATCGTGCGGCGACTAATACCAGCAATTATGTACAACACTTGCCCCGAAGAGGCGGCAGTTATGTTGTCAGCGGGCCCGACTATCCCCCCGATTTGGCTAATTGATTGACAATTTTGCATTGACAAGCATTTATTTGCTATGCGCAATGCATATTGGCCCAGTCGCCATCGCCGCCAGTTGCAGCAATAATGCCTCGATCGACTGACTCTCTGTCAATGCTTTTGTGCAATCATAAAATCACGCAAAAATCAAGGCCAACTTTTACGAGTCAATGCACAGTGCACAGTAAATACAAATTTTTTGCACATTTTTTTTTTGTAGTTTGTCATAAAAAAATAAAGAAGCCAAAACGAGCCAAGAAAACAAATGTCAAAAGCTGAATGAGTTTTAAGCAAACAAAACTAAACATTTTCTTATTATATAATACATATACTATATGTTTATAGTAAAATAAATACCAATCGTAGTACTTAAAACAAATACTTAATTTAAAATAATCAAGTTACAAACGTATTCCTGAACTCTATTATAGTTTAAATATTGTCAAGTTTCTTGCTCCAAAATAAATTTTCTATTCCATTTTATAAGTTTCCAAAGCAAACTAAAATATACATTCACATTCTGCCTGAAGTAATTAATAATTCAAAAAATCTACTCAATTTTCTGTGTAATATTTCCACGTAAGCAGCTGAGCAAAAACAAAAAAAAATCCGTGATTCATTTTGTAAGCAACAGAATCCCGAATCGAATTGGCCAATAAAAGTAAATATGAACCCCGAACAGATGGCATCCATACATCACTGTTATCGATGCCATTTTTGGGCGCTGACAAATTTGTGGCCAGATGCCTATCCTCCCAGTTCGGGCCATAACTCTATGCTATGTGAGGTAACTAATGACCGTATTTAGCCGCAAAGGTTTAGCCCCATTTTGCTGGCATCGGGTCTTTGGGTGCGTTTTGTGAGGCGGTTGCTAGCGCACACTTCCTCAAGGCTCATTAGTTAAGCAAACAAAACTTGAATGACTGGAGGGGAAAAAATAAAACGAATAATAATAATAAATAATAAATAATGCCACATTCTGCATTGTAATCGATTTGTGTGTGAGGGAATATCGGCGATAAAAAGTGTCAAGCGACAGCTTAAAAACTTGAACTGAATGTAATTAATCAACAATAAATCTATTATTTGAGCAAGTAATTCAATTAACCCAACAAACAGAGTCATAAATATTTATATATAATTGCGATTCACGGGCCAAACATCTGAGCAAAGTGCAAGGCAATAAGCGAACAATAAAGTAAATAATTTCTATGAATATTTGAGCGCTTTTTTGTTGCCCCTTCAAGCAGCTGCAACAATTTAACACTTGACATTGTTTTCCTAATGGCAGATGCCGGTGTAGAGCCTCCGCTGTAATTATTGTTATTACATTCAAGTTATACAAATCGAGTTCAAGTCCGAAGTGTTTGTTTTGCCTCAGAATTGATTTGGTCTGCCGTCTGCCAATTTGCCATGCGGCTAAATAAAGCGACTTTAATTGATCCTCAAAATCGATATCGAGGTTGTTGTGTTGATAAGGCAAGGCGGCTTTTATGGCAAGCAAATATATCGTGTGTGATCGCAAGGCGCTTAATCTTGATCTGGCATAACGAATTGGGGGCGGCCTAATCTAATTGATATTATTCGTGTAGTAATTTGCAAAACAAGGGATATGCTAAATTTTTGGTTAAATCATAGTTTTTCAAATATCATAACTAAGCCAAAAATGCATTAGTTTCAATTAGAATTCATATTGGTGAATAATTTATAATTAAGTAAGGCTGTTAATTTTGATTATACATTTTATTCTATCATTTTAAGTAATAGGGTCCATGGCAATAAAGGAATGAATTGAAAATTAAATACTTAGCTAGCTACTCCTATAGTATCTTTATACAAAATATAATTGTGATAGTTAAGACTTACCTTAGTAGAGGACACACGGTTATCATTTGTCATCGATGCATAATTCCTGCCAGTGTAGAGTATGTATCCATGCTGACTTCAATTAGGATTATCATGGTAGCATCGAGTGGGTTTCATCCTGGTTGTCCAAATAGTTCGCATTGGTTAGGTGACATATTGGAGGTCGAAGGGTAATCACTATTACTGCCACCACCGCTATAGATGTTATCACTGGAGACGCCACGGACAGAATGAGGCCAGCGGCGGCTGCTGTGCCTCTATTTATAGTCCCGGAGCGAAGAGAACAGAGAAAGTGTGAGCGAGAGAGTAAGAACCATCTCTAGAGAAAGGCAGAGAGAGGTAGAGAGAAAGAGGCATCTCCAGAGGCATACGAAGAGGGAGAGAGGGAGAAAGAGAGACGGTTTTGCATTTTCCTCTGCATTTAACGATCCTTCCTATGGAAGCTATATGATATAGTTTTTCGATCCGGTGACTCTTTTACTGCTTTGTAAACTTCTGAGTACAAATTATAATACCCTGAAAGGTTATAAGTAAATAAACAAATAATAAGTAATAAATAGAAAAAATAAATAAATAAAATAAATTAAATTAATTTTAAAATTAAAAAAATAGATAAATAAACACAAATACAAAGCCGAGTGGGTACAATAATGAATTGGGTTTAAAAATATAGATTTTTAAGCTCTAAAGCTTGAGTTAAAAATTGCCGAGGATATGGGATTAAAAAATATAGGAAAAGAGCAGAGAAAAACCAGCTAAAAATTGTTTAAAAATTTGGAAGTTACTTTAAACTTGGAATGTGTGATAACCAAAGGGAATGTAACTAAATAATTAATCAAATTTTATGAAAAAGAAAGAAGTAAGAAAATTACATTATGATAATAGTTGATACAGTAAGCCTCCTAATAAAATGAAATCTCAGGTGATCTAATTGGAATCTACAACCTAGTCATGTAGCAATTAACATAATACCACCAATTGCTCCCAAGGATTCCCTCACTCACCGAAACGAACTCGTTTTCCAGCTCACTCTTTGCCTGCTGCTAGTCGCCACAATCGCTGGACTGGGACTCCAGGTGGAGGCCATCCGGGTGGACTGGGGCACCAATACAGGACCGATATCACCACCGCCGCCGCGCACCACACCGCAGCCACCGCGAAAGCCATACCGGGAACCAGCGCCCGTCTGGGAGGATCTCAGTGACGATGTGCCCAACCCCAATCCCTATGTGTAAGTGCAGAACGGGTTTAAAAACCTGAAAAACAACTAGCCCTAAGGTGTAACGTAACTTATATAACTGATATACATATATTTATTTCTCTTTATTTCTCTGATTTATATGCAGCTACGTCTTGCCACCGCCATCCCGCCCAAGATACTGGGCCATACCCGCCGGACCGTATGCCCCGCCGAACTACAACAACCTGCCGCCCAAGCAGGGTAACTACGGCCAGTTGGCCACCAGTGCGTACAGCGGCGGAGTGACCTCTGTGCCGGGTCTTGCTGCCCAATATGTGCCCGGAGTGGGCACCAAATATACGGCCATTGTGCCCGATAAGGTGCAGGGCAAGTACAATGCGAAGACCAAGAAGTACAAGGCTTACGAGAAGGCGAAGTATGCGGCATATCCCTGGAACTATGTAAGGCAATACGAGGGTCGCAGGCGATACCTGCGCTATTGAAGTCCCCTCCAGATATACCTGATAAACATACCTGATATGCATTTAGAACTAAATATAAACATATAAATTTGTACAAGAGATTAAAGCCAGACTCTGACTCCTCACACGAATCCCCCCTGCTTTTGACACTCTACCCACCGCTGTTGTAAATGCCTTTCAGCCTGAGATCAGACCAGACACCAACGCCCACTCACGCACTCAAGCATCCCGCTCACTCTCCCTTTCGCAATCATCTTGGCCCATTCACATCCATGCCGCAAGCATGGCCACATCAAAGTCCACACATTCACATCCCCATACACATCCCCACATCAACATCCACATCCACATCCACATCCACGTTCATGTCCATGTCATAATCGCATGCATCATCTCGTTGCAGTTGCAGCAGTTGCCGCTGGAGGAGAAGGCCTTGGAATGGCAGGCGGAGCTCGAGAAGCGGCTCGACGAAGAGCAGGCTCGTTCGCAGTCTCAGGCTCTCAGTTCCTCCACAACAACAAGCACCACTTCCAGCACCTCGACTTCAACATCGACCACGACCACGACAACTCCAGCACCATCGCCAGACAGCAGCAGCAGCTCCTCCACCTCCACCTCCAGCACACCATCCACACACACATCTACCACACAGCAGCCCACAACAATTGCCAATTACAAGCTGGCGCACGAGAAGAGCGCCCATCTGAAGAAGCTCGGCAAGCAGAAGCGACTCCAGCAGCTGCACTTGGAGCAGGAGAAGCTGCAGATGAGGAAGAAGATGCTGCAGCAGGAGCAAAACTCGTTGTCGAGTTGAACGCCAGACAAGAAAACATTAATGCGAAATTAATTTTAAGACTTGCCCACAACATGTTGTAAATAACTATTAATAAAATTAAACATCCCATAATAAAACCTAATCGAAATTAAAGACAAGACTTTGGATGGGCACTAAAAGGTAAACATTCCTGTAATAAAAGTTAAGTGTAACGAGGGAATAATTAAGGTGAGTAAAACAATTTAAATTTAATTTCTGCTTGTAAAAGGGAGTAAGATGTTTTGGGGGAATAAACAGAAATAATCAAAGGGTGTTAAGTTAAGCCAAAGCATAAATAAATAAAAGAATAAGCTGAAATCAAATATATGTTTTTGTAATTTTCGAGAAGTTAAAGCAATTATTTATAAGAATATAAAAGAAGATAGTTTTAATTGAGTAAGAATTTGATTGCAAATCAAAATAAATATGGCTTTTGGAAGTCAAGAACTTCTTGGCCTTCGGGTATTACCAATTAAAATATAAACTAGCATTACAAAATCGATATTTTTTTATGCTAAGTTTTTGGGTAAATCCAAGGTTTTCCAAATATCATAACTAAGCCAAAAATTAATCAATTTCAATTCTGAAAGCTGTTCTGTGCTAGTTTTTAAAGGGCTAACAATTCGGCATTCTCAGATATTTAATTTAAAAAATTAAATTCTTTGTCAAATTTTTAAAATTTTAGCGATGTAACGCCTTATAAAATTTTGAAATTTTGAGAAAATTTTAAAAAATATATTTTTTTATCGGATGTGTCTAGATCGACCCAGTTTTTGATGCTTATCAAGAATATATATGATTTATGGGGCCGGAAATGACTCCTTCACTGAGATTTAAGGTTCTGACCAAAATTATATTACCCTGGAATGTTACAAAATTAGTGAAAGAATGAAAACAAAAACAAATGACACAAAACACTAAAAATAAAACCATAAAAACTAATGAAACTTAAGTAACAACTTCCGCTCGAAACGAAAGACTTAGGCAACGAACTTGAACCAATGAAGGTGAAGTAACTGGCAATAAATGCAAACACTAAACAGAGGGAAGATACAAAAGCAAAACCCAATGCAGGGAGAGAGTTGCAGGGAGAGATGGTGCCTAAATTGTCTTTTAATTGCCATTAGCAAGGGGGCCAACGGGGTCAGGCCAAAGGGCAAGCCGCCCAAGGTGAGCTGTCAAACGGTATAACGGACACAACACACTGATTGGCACTTTCTTGAGCGATTGAGCGACTTTTTATAGCCGCAGGCACTCAAAAAAATAAAACTGAACGAAAACATACAGCAATTAGCCCCAGCAATTAGCGGTGTCGTTGAGCGGCGGCAGCTTCTGGGCCATCATTTAAGCCGCTTGCTGATTGCCGTTGCATTGCTGATCACAGAGCGGCTAAAACAGACGTAGACTCTGACCACGAGACGTTAGCGGTGGCAAAAAGGAAACAATATAATTAGCACAAAAGAAATACCAACAATCATTCTTTTTTTTTTATTTCTGCACCTCGACAATGTTGTGAGCTCCTTTGGCTCGTTGCGAGCTTTTGGGGAGTCGTTAACTGTCAACTGGTTTCGGCACATTAATTATAATTAAGACCGAAACTCATATTTAATTTGAAGAGCCAAATTAAGGACAATTTGTTGAGTGACATTAAACCATTATATTCCAGTTTAAAAAGGTATTACGCAAGGAGTTGCTAGCGAAAGCCATAAATTTTTATTTCCATCAAACGATAACAATCAAAATCTAGTTAAGAGACAATAATTTTATTCATTCATTCATTCCGCTTTTGTTTATCACCGCTAAATTATACACATTTTTTGGAATTTTATTAAATTTTACGTTTACATTTTGTATGGGTGCGAACTCCCTTCGCGCGCCCGAAATCAATTTAAATTTCAAATTAGAAATCCACTCAACAAGTCAGCAAAATCATTGAAAGACAATTAAACATTTTGCACAATTTATGGCTGCGTTAAACGAGACAAATAATTCGTTCGATCTTTGTTTTGTTGGGAGGAGGTGCTCTACCGGTTTCAAGACGGATGGACACCGAGCCTTAAATCACAAATGCCACTGGCTCAGCGAGGGCCAGAGCCCGCAGTGGTGGCGATTGTCTGCCCCGAAATTCCAGCTCCTGATGCACTCGACTGTTCCTGGTTCGGTGCTCTACGACAGCCTTGAATCCCCGGCCAGGTCCCCGCACCTCGTAGTGCACACTGCGGATGTGGCCATCGGGCTCTAGGTGGGAGTAGGAGCCAGAGACATAATCTCCATGCCGCTGCTCTCGGTGGAGGATGTGCACCTGACTGGCCGGGTCAGAGATCTGATACTGATGCGAGTAGCGGAGCTGTGAGGGGGAAAGAAAATGAAAAGGAAATTGAAATTATATTTTTAGAAATAATAAAATAATTTCCCTTAATTTTTTATTATCAAAACAAATTATTTGTGTCATTTCGAAGGCATTTTTAACAGGAAAAATAATATTTGCCATATTAATTAGTACCTTTATTTACAGTAGCTAATGTTTTGGTAAATACAACCATAAAAAGCGAGAATTTTAACAGCAAATTGTATAAATAAGCTTTCAAATTAATATATTATGTGATTTACAGCTTTGGTGAATTAAATAAATTAAATTAAAATGTAATGTTGCAATCTTTTCCTACAAAATTTCAACAAAACCCCCTTTAAATATGTTCAGACATTGTTGCCTCAATCTTAAGTATTTAATATTAATACATATAACCATGTAATGTGGTAATAAGATCATAGACTTACCCGCTTCTCGTCATGATTGCTCCCATAATCGTTGTAAAACTCAATATGCCCGGCTGGGCCACGCTGCGTATGCGCAATCTCTGTTAGCCAAAGGAAAATGAAACCGAAACAGACACCAATTTTGACTCCCAATCCATATGCCATACTGACCGGACACGTGGGCAGGGAACTGCTGCCGAAATTAATTTGATTAGAAACATAACGAAGCGATCGAGAAGAGTGGGAGCTGGGAGCTGGGAGCTGACCAGAGATTGGAGCCCGGAGGAGGAGTGGCCAGGGGTGAAAATCATTTGCACTTTGCAGTTACGTTCGGCAGTTGACTTGAAAGCGACTGCATCACTTCCTAGCCTGAGCCACTGCGATGCTGATTACATAGTCACGTTGTTAACTACATCTTCACGGTGCACAGCGGCCAAAGACAGAGGTTTAAGTGAACCTGGAGACGGGGAGCTGGTGTGGATTGGCGTTGCCTTGGTGCCATGGTGCATGCCAATGTTGGGCAATCAAATCGAATCAAAGACCAGCATCTTTCACACTTCGTTAGGGGCCAAGTCTCCATCGCAAGTCGGGGCAATTTAGTGTCAAAAAGCGAGCAGTCGATAAAAAGCAAAAAGACAAAGGCCCCGCAACCCCTCGGAAAATCTAAGCGACTGCAATATGCACATTATGGATGGCCAGGCGTGATCTCCGTCGGGATCTTTGACTGCTAACGGCTGAAGCACAGTGGTGCCTACTACAAAAAGTAAATTAAATACAAAAAAACTTAACTAACATTAAATTAACAGGGATTTTTTCAGAAATAAGTCTATAAATTAAAGTTATTTAATAATTTAGTTAAAAATATGTATCTTATTAAAAGGGGAAACCCCACTGTTAACAACTTTGGCCGCTGGCTAACGTGCCCTAACGTGACTCGATGCTTGAGCGGATTGGCCTGACCCAGGCACCTGGTGCCGCAAAAAACAAAATCCCTTTCCTGCCAATCCCTGCCATGATCCATGGGCTGGGCTCTGGCGGAGATTGCCGTTTATGAGGCCCGAGTGGCCACTTTCTTTCTCTTGCATCATGATGGTTAGCTCTCCCCTGTTTTTATTTTTTCTCCCCACTGATTTTTTGGTATTTTTTTTTTACATTTACGAGGCACGTTTTGCGGGAAATGCAAAGATTTGAACAGCAGGTGACGCCATAGCCATCGAGAGGTCTTCCCACTTGGATGGATGCTCGTCGCCAGGTTATAAAAATCAATGCCCTTTTGATTAGTTACAGCTGTAATTGCAAATCGGAGACGCTTTGTGAAAGGTTCCAATGGTCACTATTAACTTGGGAAATGTTAAAAAAGGGATAGATAAACATGGAAAAGGAGATCAAAAAGTCTTTAAAGGAATCCGATCTTCTCAAGATCTAAACTTTGGATTACTTTAAATACAAGAAATGGTGAATCAATTAGTTAAATGTCAAAACAAACTCATTTCAATGTAAGAATATATATAAGAAATTGATTAAAAACCTTAAAAAAATTGGTCCTTTTCTAATATTATGTACATTTCATAAATTTTAGTTACTGTGTAGCTTTAAATTCTCCGTCAGTAATAAAGATATTGTCTAATTAGAGCGAAACTACCAACTTTCGATTGGCCATGGGCAGCATCACGCATACGCCCCCTTGGATTGCGCAATCGAAGCTAACAAGATGAATCTGGCCAAGATGGTTGGATCCCCCCTAAAGGCACGAATCCCAAAAACGACGCCCGTCCAAACTGTCGTTAATTGCAGGGTTTGAAGGAGCTGAGGAGCTGGGGAGCAGAGTCCAGAGCTGACTCCCATAATTCACAGAATCGAACGGATAATCGACGGCGGGTCAGGGCACGTTTTCGGCCCATCTTTCTCTCTCGCTGTATCGAAATGCCAAATGCACTGAGGGAAAAACGAGAAAAGCTGGTCAGGATAACTTGTTTTCCTTTTGACTTGCTAATTGCAATGAAATAAAATGAAAATGAAATGGCCAAATGGCCAAATGGCGAAATGCGAAATGGCAAACGACAAAGCATTTTTATTTTCATTTCTCTTACGGTTAAAAAGCACGCGCTCCATTAGGCCAGACAAACATGCGGCAAATGTTTATTCATAACTGGATCGAACTCGGCCTGGGACTAGGAGTTGGAACTGAAAACTGGAGACTGGAGGCCAACATTCGGTCAGTTCGGTCGGTCTGTCAGTCAGTCAGTCAGTTAGTTAGTTGGTCGGAAGCCCAGATGCCGAGATGTTGATGCTTACGACAAAAATAAAAACACTTACTTTTTCTATTGATTTGTGGC